GTTCCTAGGGAAGTAGTGATGCCTCGCTTTGGCGTAATCCATCACGTACGCGCATTAGTTCGGTAAGTGTTGTTCTTGGAATGGCAAATTTTAGCTCAATATTATTAAGGGACCTAGGGTTTCTATGTTGGTTGATTTAAGTGAACTTAACTAATCATCACAACATTATAGAAATCCTAGACATGCATCTAGCAAACATATATAATAACAATATATATAAGGCATAAAAATAGATGCATTTGGCAACTAGCATGACCCTTTGAAATCTTCAATTTCCATGGGTCTTCATCTTGGCTCGTCTTCCTTGAAACGCCGTCTTGAGACATCTTGGCCCAAAATGAAATAAAAGAAGCTAGCTAGAACGACTAAGATTAATCTAAATAGTACAAAAATACTTAACGGTTCGCAGACCGTATTTAGATTTACAAAAATACATAACGGAACGCAGTCCATATTTTCTATCCTAGTCGGGCCCTACTAGTTGCCATTTTCAAAGAACCTGTTTTGAAAGCAATCTTTCATTCACCCGTTCACTATTTGTGAACGGCCCATGCAATTTTACGAAATACATAATTAAACACGCAAAACTAGTAACTAACTTAGGTCGTTAATCCAATTAACGCGCCTAATTAAAACTAGTCAAAGTGGTTTAATCCATTGTTTCTAATCGCAAAATGCTAACGCATTTAATTAAGCTCCCACTAAATTCCGCATCCGTACTTAATTAATCCGATTAATTAAGTCGGCATAACCCATAAATTGTCAAAATTGTGCAAAATCGAAAATCGAGGTTTTTAGCCTCGTTAAAGTAATTAATTAAAATTATTAACACGGGAAAAATCGCAAAAACATAGCTCAACCTTAAGCAAAAAGGGCATCATCCTATGATGCTTGGCGCACCATGGTTGCTAGGCACCCCATGGCCTCTGCGCCATGGTGCGTGTAGCTGGCAGCTAGCAAGTGCGCCTAGCACAGCCTGCCTAGCTTGCTAGCACCAGCAGCATGCTACGCATGCTAACAGCTTGTTGGCACAAGCATCAGGGGCTGGCTGGCTGGGGCTTGCTGCCTCGCTGCCCAGCAGCCGCACAAGCGTACCAGCAGCCTAAGGCCCCTATGCGCCAACACACGCACCACACAGCAGCCCCTCCACGCCACACAACTACGCACCAAGCGATTCACACCCATATGCGCACCACAGGCAGCCTACATGTGGGCTGCTAGGCAGCCCGGCTAACCTTGGTGACGCTTGCGGTTTTGCATCGTTTTGCGTGCATTTTACTCGGAATTTAATTCCAATTTGTGTGTGACAATAATCAATTCTAAATCAAATTTTAGAATTAATTTTGAGGGAAAAATAAAATAAAACAAATATTAAGTCTAACTTAAACAATTTATTTTATTAGTGCACAAGCCTAGATTTATCCAAAATTTCAATTTTGAACAAAATTAGGTCAAACTTTATGCTTAAAATAAAATGAGCTATGTCCAAAATTAATCTTGCCAATATGCAAATTAATAATGGATTTGACAAAAGGGAGTTGGAAAAATAAATCAACCATCCAATGATAAAATTTTCCAACTTGCATACTTGTGTAAAATACCAAGATTACATCTTCCAATATGAAGATTAATCAAATTTTACTCACAAGTAATTGAACTTAATGGATTTTAATCAACCAAAACATGAAAAAATCCAAACTTTGTTCAACATGGAATTTAGGGTTAGGGTTCCAATCATTTAAACATTTAAATATTAGAACTTTAACATTACTTGGGAACTTAAAATACAAAATCACAACAAGTTTTCACACCTTATTGCAATTTATTTGCAAAATTGTGAAAAACAAGTTTATGTGATAACTTGGTATATCAACTTAAGCACTAATAAACACTCCATTATTATGCTCAAGGATATTTTAAAACCAGTAGATTAGTGATGCAAATGTGCATTTAATCTAACCTTGTAATGCTTGCATTAATCAAGGCTTAAAAGAATTAAAACTTTCGTTGAAAAACGAAAAACCCCAAAAAAATTGGGTTTCTGGTTCGAATTTGGCTTCTGGACAACCCTGAAAGAATTGAAACAGTTCCAGAATGTCGATTCCACCCAAAAATCACTATTTTTGAGCCAAAATCTGGGTTCGACAGCCAAATCGAAAATAAAATCGAGTTTTAAAATTCATTAAAACAAGCATCTAATCTAATTAGATGAACATGAACCAGAAAATTAAATTCTTAGAAACACCTTAATTAAACAATAATTGCAAAAATTAAAAGGAGCGTGGCTCCGATACCGCTGTAGGGTTTTGTAGTGACCCGACACTACGCGGAAGGAAACCCACCAAGACCCGCCCCTTAATTAAAGCAATTAAACAAGCATAATAAACTTAATCAAACAAGATTAAGGACAAGAATTATACCTTTGACGCGTGCTTCGCTCCCAAAGAGCTCTTACTTCAAAATCCCGAAAAGACGAGATCTCCGACGGATCGTACCCTCGACCCGACCCGAGCGTCCTAAGTCTTGAAGGTTAGTCAAGACCCGGACAAAATAACTATGAGTTTTACGAATCAAAGGTTTACTCTTTTCAAGAGTTGCCTTTTTAATTCCACTCAAGGTTGTCTCAATTCCCAAAACTAAGCTTGGTATTTATAGGGAAATGATCCCTTGATTTTTCATCCTCCACCAATGTGGGAGAATGTATTTTTGCTAATTAATGTATTTCTAAAATAAAGTAATAAACAAAACTAATCACAATGCAACAAGTGTCAAATAGAGAGAGAATGTTAGGTGAGGACCATGAATGGGGGGGGGGACCATTGCCTTGCTCCTCAAGGCCTTGCCCAAGCTTGGTCCCCACCCCTCACCTAAACCGCCACCTCATGGAGAGCTGGGCTGGCAGCCTGCCTTGGCTGCCAAGGCTTCCAGCTGGCGCCTAGCACCAAGGCTGGGCAGCCAGCCAGCTTGGTGTGCTAGCAAGCACTGCTAGCACGCACTGGCCTAGCATGCATCAGCCCTAGCACGCTGCGAGCTGCTGGGCGCTGATGCTGCTAGCCTAGTGCTGCTGCTGCCTAGCACTCTCGCACACAATCTCTCGCACAAGCCCCTCTCGCATAGGCCCCTCTCGCACAGCTACCCAGCTAGCATGCGCACACCCAGCCAGCGCACCATGCACGCAAGGCCTAGCATGCGTGCTGCTAGCGAGCCACGCATGCTGGGCTTGGTGCTCGTTGCTAGCATGTTGTGCTTGGTGCTGCCATGCGAAGGCACGCACGCAAGCACACAGCTAGGTGCCTCATAGCGATGTTGTTGGGCGATGGTGCACACGCACATGTATTGCTAGCCATCCTCGCACTAGCACACGCCAGTGCCTAGCACTTGCTATGGTCGTGCTTGATGCGAGGCACGCACATGCGCCAGTGCCTAGCAGTGCGATGGCTGTGCTTGGTGTGTGTGTGTGGTCCTGCCATGTGCTGATCTGCAATAGTGCCCAGGCATCATGCTAGGGCTGCGACAGCGCCTAGGCATGATGGTAGGGCCTGCGATAGAGTGCCTAGGCTTGCGATAGTGCCCAGCCATCCTATGCCACGCATGGTGCGCCTAGTGATGCGCATAGGCCTGCGATGGGCTTGGTGGCTTGCGATGGTGCCATGCGCACCATGGTGCGCCTAGGCTTGCTATGAGCTAGCCTAGCCTAGCTACGACTACGCTCATACATGTTGCTTGTGATTTTGCGACGCTCAGTATTGACGCCCTAGGCTCGATTTCCGACGTCTGTGTTCGTAAAACTATATCGACTCATTAAATCCTTTCGGATTAATTCGACGTCTCGGATCGGAGATTCGATTGGGTTCGACCCGAAGGGTTCAGTTAAGATCAAGCTGTAATATCAATTGTACCTCGATATTACTGATCGGAAGCGGCCTCCACCTAGGCATTCCGATCACTTGACCTTACTGAAGAATTAGCTCTGTAATAATTCTGAACCCTCTATCGGAATAATACACTTGTTGGAAGGACACCATTCCTTTCAACTTACCCAAATCGTTGAAGCGTCGTAAGCTCATTCTTGACATGATGTTTTTTGAGCATTTGTGTGAGGACCTCATTTCCACAAACAAAATTCCATCAGTCAGCATAGTCGTTGCAGTTAAGAGACATATCAATGGTAACCTTATAAAAGCAAAAGCAGTGTGTGAAACGCTAATTCCCTGTTACTCACTGTGAGTAACAAGTTTGTTACTCACAGTGGCAATTCAGAAAATAAGTGGAAGTTTTTCACTTACTGACTTGCTGAGCTGGATTCGTCTACGTGTCAATTTGCTGATTTGGATTTGTCTATGACATCCTTCCGTCAATCTGTTGGAGACTTGGAGGGATGGCGTTAACTTCTTCACGTTTTGGCGGGAAAATATTCACATACCCAGAAGCTTGTTCGGAGAATTAGCGTTGTTCTTCACACATCGCCGAATTGTACAAGGCCATTTGAAAAAACACGGAGCTTGTTCGGAGAATTAGCTCTGTTCTTCACACATCAACGAATTGTACAAGTCAGTTGAAAAAACCACCGACATCTTCGAATTACGAGGTATTTTTCTGATCTATGTTATCGTCGCTTGTTGCAGTCTTCAGTTTTGTTATGTAGTTGTCATGCGCCCACAATTCATGAAAATGAATTCATAATTTGGACCGAAGTCGGAATAATTTTGAAAGCAATAGGATTTTAAGGACCTTTTCGTCCGTTAAAAAGGGGGTTGAGGTTGCCGGAAATGGCCGGTGGATTTTGTTTACATTGCAACTTTTTAGTTTTTGAGAACGTGTTGTCTTCGTATGTTTTTAAAAAAATACAAGTGTTGATTTGTTAGTTTATGTGAAAATTGGTTGTGTTGGTTGTTCAATTGGTTGGTTTATTTGTGTCGGTTGGTTGAATTTCCGCGTTGGGTTGAATGTATGATGTGAAGCGTGTTTGGTTGATTTGTGTTGAATTTTATATTATAATTATGTTGGCGTTCTGTATTAATTTGTATCGTAGTAATTATGTTGGTGTTCTTTATTTGAAGGGTGAATTGTTGTTGTTGGAGAAGATTGATATTATGCAAATGGAAACAACAGAAAGCGTTATAAGGGGCAGTGAGGTTGTTGTTGGTGATTGTGGCAGTGGAGATAAGTTTCGGAGTAACGTCCATATGGAGGAGGGTACAGAAGACATAGATGATGCAGGTAGTTGTGCACTTGACATGGATGTTAGGTTTTTATCCCCCGTGAAAACAATTGATACGACTCACACTGTGGTTGGTAGCAACGAAATACAGTAGCTGTTTAGGAGCCTGGTGATTGTGGCAGTGGAGTTAAGTCTCGGGGTAACGTCCATATGGAGGAGGGTATAGAAGACATAGTTGTTGCAGGTAGTTGTGCAGATGACATGACTGTGGTTGGTAGCAACGAAATAGCTGTAGTTGTTGAGGAGCCTAAGGAAGGGATGGTTTTCCAGTGTTGGCAACAGGTTGAAGCCTACTATAAGGACTATGCTGAGCAGACGGGGTTTGGAGTGACAAGGGCTCAAGGTGTAAATTCTAAGACGGGGGACCCAAAAAAAATCAAAGTCACGTGGAAGTGTGAGTGCTGGGGAAAACCCGACATGAGGGCTAGGAGGGAAGCGAAGAAGAGGGCAAAGGCAATGAGCCATGGAGGTTCAGGTGGTTTAGTTGATGGGGTGGTATGTGCGGATGAATTAAGTGGTATGAAGAGGACTTCGAAAAAGTGCGAATGTCAGGCCCGTGTTTATGCTAAAGTTAACGAAGATGGCTTGTGGGAGTTGAAGAGCGTGGAACTAAAGCATAATCACGCGATTGATCCGGCAAATTATAAGCTTGTTAAGGAGTACCGCATGAAGCAAATGACCTGCAAAGCGAAGAAGACGCTGTCAGATTTGTACGAGCAAGGTGTACCGGTTTCTCAAATACACGGTTTCATGGCGACCGAACGGAAGGGTAGCATGGATCTGACGTTAAAAGATTTACAACATGAGGTGTACAAGGCTAGGTGGTTGAAGATGGTTGGAGGGGACTCGGTGGCAATGATGGAGTACTTTGACAAAATGCAAACCGGGAACCAAAATTTTTTCCATGCTCAACGTTTGGAAGAAGAAGGGAGGCTTAAGGATGTGTTGTGGGTGGATGCAAGAAGTAGGGTAGCTTATGAGGACTTTGGTGATGCGGTTTGCTTCGACGCAACATACCTAACGAATGAGTACGAGCTCCCGTTTGCGAACTTTGTTGGTGTGAACCACCATGGGCAATCGTTGTTGTTGGGATGTGCTCTTGTTTCACATGAAGACTGCGATACGTTTGCGTGGATATTTCGACAGTGGCTAGCTTGCATGAACAATTGAGCTCCTAAAGACATATTGACCGACCAAGCGGCAGCTATGCGGAGGCCCCTTGCTGAAGTCATGCCAAACACGGTGCATCGTTGGTGCATATGGCATATCATGAGCAAGATCCATGAGAAACTTGGCAAGTGTGCACGGTATGTTGTGAAATTCCTCCTTCTGGCTTTACAATTTCCAAGGTCTTGATATTAATAATCTGATTCCCATAATAAAGACAAGCTAACCTGTTGTTGCTGGTCTGCTGTTATCATTGTTGTGTAGTTACCAGGAGTTCGTCAACCCCCTCAAAGAGCTAGTATATGAGAGCTTTGACCCCGAGGAGTTCCAAACCCGATGGGCAGAGTTTATTGCTGAATATAAGTTGGAGGACAATGAATGGCTACAGAGCCTACACAAAGACAGTCATATGTGGGTGCCTGCGTACATGAAGGATTTTTTTTGGGCCAGTATGAAGACCACACAAAGGGTGGAGAGCATCAATCGGTTTTTTGACGGCTATGTGAACCGCAAAACAAAATTCCATGAGTTTCCTCAAAAGTATTGCATGGCCTTGGATCAACGCGTTCGAGATGAACTGAGTGCAGATGTGCGTTGCTCGAAGTACCTTAGGTGGTTGGTTAGTGGATTCAAAGTCGAAAAAATATTCCAAAAGTTATACACGGACAACAAGTTTCAAGAATTTCAAAAGGAGTGTACAAGAATGATGTATTGCAACGTCCGAGGAGAGAAGGTTTTGTCTGAAAAGCTTATTCATTATTCGGTGGTCGATCGTGTATGGATAGTACCTCCCGTGCGAGTGAGGATGTCATTACAAACAGGCGAAGATCCTACAATGTTACTTTCTGTCAAATGACAAAGGAGGTGCAGTGTGACTGTAGGAAGTTTGAGACTAGTGGCATACTTTGCAAACACTATATTACGATTTTGGATGTAAACTTGGTTGAAGATCTACCAGAGAAGTACGTTGTAGACCGTTAGAGGAAGGACATACCCCAGAAGCACACAAGGGTGAAGGTGGCCTACCATGATCCGGGAGACACGGTCAATGTGAAGAGATTCAACAAAATGATGAAAAAACTTGAGCCCTTATGTGAAACCGCTGCCATGGTGGACGATCAAACGGTCCATATGGTAATTGAAACACTATCGAAGCTTCAATTAGCTGTTAATGAGCGTAGGGACAAGAAGAGTAAGGAAAATGTTCCTGTAGTTAGTACATTGTCATCAGCCACTGAAGGCAGAACATTTTCCTCAGTTAGGAATCCTGCTGCTGATGCTACTGCCGTAGACTCCTGTCCAGCTGCCATGGACCTTGTTATCAAAGACCCTATAATTAAGAAAAGGAAAAGGGGCAGGCCTAAGGGTTCAAGGCACAAGACGTTAGCTGAAACCGGCTACAAGAAAACCAACAAGAATAAGAAGCCTAGCCCGGTTAGGATTTATGCTTTCTTCAATACTTAAAGAATCTGACTGCTCAGCATGTTATTATTTTCTGACTGCTGTTATATCTCTATATAAATCATACAGGAGCAAGTAGGAAATGTTGTTGAGGAGGATGCAGCAGACTGTGTTCAGGAGGAGGATGGAGTAAATGGTGTTGAGGAGGAGGATGCAGGAAATGGTGTTGTGCAGGATGCAGGTGTGTCGGATGAGGAAATGGTGTTGCAGGATCTGGTGTTTCGGAGGAGGCAAGAAAAGGCAGGAATGGCAGGAAATGTTGTGGAGCAGGATGCAGGTGTTGAGGAGGAAATGGTGTTGCAGGATCTGGTTTTTAGGAAGACAACAAAGGGGAAGGGGAAGGCAAATACGTCTTCTCGGAAGCTACATGTAAGTATGAATCCTAAATTCATGTGATTTTACTTCAGTGATTATTTCACATTTAACCCATCACACCTGTCACAGGTGAAGCAGAAACGTCTTGATGAACTAATATAGCTTGAGCATATCTAGGCCGCTCGTTTGTTTGAGCATATGAAGATAGATTACGGGGGCATATTCTTTCCAACGGTTTGTAAAACTGTTAAGCATTTGAAACATGTAATTAAACTCATCACATTTGTGTTTGAGATAATTTCAAAGGCGACAAATATATATACACACAAAGGTCCAAGGTCTTGTAATCCTTTTCAAGATGTAAAGACAACGGTTCAAGGTCTTGAGGTCAATTTCAAAAAACGATACTTTTTAAAAGACGATGCTTTGAGTATGTCTGATTTTCATGTGTTAACATGTAAACATGTAAAAATAACAGCAGTAAAAACAGAAGAAAAATAAGCATAACATAGTAACTTGCTTCCTTAAACATGACTTTAGCTAAAAATGCGTAAGCCATGTCATTATCCTAAAACATTCTCAAAACACAACATGGGATACATAGGCCCTCTCCTACATCATGATGATATGAATGGCCTAAACAATAGCAAGTCATTGGAACTACCCTAAATTGGGGGCTACAAGACTTGAGAAATAGCAAGAATGTGCATAACCCGACACATGGGGGCTCCAATATTCACAAGAAACAAAATGAGATATTCATGCCATTTGAACTACTTTCGAGAATCTTCTAAACTATAAATAGTTTAAGTAGATCTCAAGCCTTATAATTTTCAAATACATCGCAACGATTTAATAATCATTATGTTCATTTGAAAACTAAGTTTGCAACTGAATTTGGCCATAGATTAAACTAAAACTACAAACATATCACATATTCAAGCCATTTTCAAGTTCAACTTCAAAAACTAATCTTAGTGCATAATTGTTGTTTCAATATTTCAATTTACTCTAGGGATTAGAGAGTATGACTAGTATCAAAATAATGGAGAACTAAACGCATACGACATGCTTGCTCATTCATCATGAAAATTGTATCAAAATTCTTCATTGACATAAGATAAACAATTTCATGAGCTACAACATGAATCAAAAACTCCCGAGTTCAAAACTAAGGGGTCTTCATTCAAAATTCCCCATTCCTGCACAAGTGACAAATTTTAAAACAATAGAATTTTTCAAAGGGGACAATAACTACTTTCTCAAACTTCAATCGGTAAAAAAATTGGGTTCAAGAGAAAGAGCTTGAAAGTAGCAAGAAGAGAAGGAATAATTACATCACATTTTCCTCTTACTTGCACTACAAACGACCAATATTACTAGACTTAGCAAGTTAATTTCCTTTGTTAAAACTATAAATGGTCGAAAACGATTTAAACACACTCGTATTTGAGAATACTATCGAGTGCAAAGAACACAAACCGATCAAGTTCAAACAGCAGAAACCATATTCCTACAAAGACAATAGAATGTAAATGACAATGTTCAAATTGTTTGTCAGGCCCCACATCACAGTCGTCGCGCTATTTTCCTAGTCCCTGGAATGGCATCTCCCAGACAGTCTTTCAATTTGTTCACTTCACACTGCACGTCGTCCAAGAACAGATTTGCCCGAGCAATAGGAATCTTCCGCTATAAGAACAGAACAGAACAAACACTTTAGCCAACCATTCCAGAGATCTTCACACAAAACACAGATATATACAACACATACCACACTGAACCTCGCGGTGAATCTTCTGGGAAAGAACTTAATACACGCCAGCATAAGAACACCGCAGTATGAGCTGCATATTAGAGGACAACAATCAACATGAAAGCTGAAGATACGTTCTCCTGACCTTAAAGGTAGGCAGATAGTCATTGGCACAATAAACAAACCAGGGAACACAAGTTCTTACTTATCCTTTGGGTCTAAAATCTCAATAGTGCATTTGGTCCAAGACTGTAGGTGACCAACCTTCCATGCTGGGTCACAGAGGTGGAAAAGGATGTCCAAGCCACTAAGCTGTAGTTTGACAAACACATTACACACTACTAAATGGTCCCAATATATACCATGTTTTTTAGAATGAAAGTCATCATTAGTACCAGCAGATCAATCTCCCTGGCATGTGTGTCGAGCGGGGCAGGGTACATGGAATCTATCAGCCACAATCGTTGAGCCTTCATGTCTAAAGCTAAGCACCACCAGTGCGAATCTCCAGGGGAATCCTGAGGAACATCGAGGACTGGGACAAAAACCTGTTTAAATGCCAATGTCAGTGCCGTAAGCACAATTTTAGCGCATATGCATGGAAAACACATTTAAACCTGCGCTATATTATTGGACTACGTGAGTAAGTTGCTGACCGCTCGAATATCCGACAGGTTAGAGCTGATGAGAGATTTGGCATACTTCGTACAAATATTCTCTTCTTTGCCTTCGTTCAACAATAGTCGATTCTACGATCCAGACAATAAAAACAAGAAGCATGATAATCATCGAATTTGAACGTAAATATGTCACCCCAATGGTGAAATGAACCCCGAACGACTTACCGAAAAGCTTGGGTCAAGCAAAAAACGCTTGCTTTTGTTCAGAAAATCTTTGGTGGCCCATTGCTTGGTGTATAGCACACTGGCCATTCTAATGTAGTCAGTGGAAACCCGAGATTTATTGTGCACCACTTCATAGTAATCCCTCTGGCTGGCTTCCATGTGATCACACTTTATCATCACCATACCACAGCTATGTGGTGAACCATCATCATAACACCAAGTATACACATAAAAATATTAGAATTTACAATTAATACAAAAACTTTGCAAAAGGCATGCACAATAAACAGACTTTTCACACTCAAATACATTTTTTTGAATTACCTAAGTGGATCCTTCAGGTCCTTCCACTGCTTAACAAACTGTAGAAGACGCGTCTCCAACGTTGTATGGCGACGGGTGTTTGACACATTGGTGAACATGGCTGACAAGGCTGCCTCGGTAGGTTTCACCACGCTCCCATCAGCAGACTCATCTTCCTCATCAGATGAAGATGACCTTTGCAATATGCACCGAGCATCAACCAAGACAGTCGTCCCCTCGTCCCAAGCGAGCATACAACAGTTTCAGGTCTAGTGTCCACGTTCACATCTTCCTCTTCATGATCAGAATAACAGACATTTAAG